GGAGTGAGCCACTCCTAGGAGCAGGGCATCCTCTTTCTTTGGCAAAGGATGTGGAGACAGCAGGAGTTGCTAACAGGAATGGGTTCCTGTGTTACCAGTCTCAGCACTGGGGAAGGTTGCTGAGGGAGATTCTAAAGAGTGTTGACCCAGTGCTTGGTCATGAGATCCGAGGTGATCAATTAACAATTCACACACATGAATCTCTCTTCCCAGTAGGAGACTTAAAACTTTAATCCTCAGATAAGACATAGGGTTGTAGAAGTGAGGGCAAACACAGAAAGCTGTTGAGAATTTATCCTCCCCTGCTCTCCTATGACTTGCTTGCCAACCTGTCTGAACATCCAGTAATGAAATAAAAGGTTGCAAAGTTGGCAAAGGACCCTGCCTTTCCCTCCCCTTCCTCTGTGACACACAGCTCCATGAAGCAAGTAGGTAAATTCCATCATCATTTCTGTCTCTGGATCAGGGTGTTGAGATTCAGAACGATGAAGCTATTTGTCAAAGAGTAGAGCTTGGCTAGGACAGGGATACACACCAACTGACTCTAGTGTCCTTTTTCCAAGGACACACTTTCAGAGAGGTGGACAGAAAAAAGATTGGAGGTGGCTAGGGGGCAGTCAGCACAGCTGGACACTGATATTCTCTTTGTGAGTGCCTTCATCACTCTGCTTGCTGTCTGGGCCCCATTATCCCCACCTCACCATATTCCCTTCATCATACATAGCAGCTGCACCTCCTCGGCTATGCTAGGCTGTGCCCGCTGTCACAGCCAAGGTCAATGATGTAGCCATCCTCCTTCCTGTTCCATCTACTTAAGCATCGGGTCTGTTCATTCTGGACTTCAGTGTTTCTATTGCTGTGAAGAGACCCCATGACCATGGCAACTCTTCTAAAGGAAAAGGATTTAACTGGGGCTGGCTTACAGTCCAGAGGTTCAGTCCATTATCATCATGGCAGGAAGCATGGTGGCTCTGCAGGATGGTGCTGGAGAGTTCCACATCTGGATCCACAGGCACAGCCTGGTTTGGGACTCTGAAACTTCAAAGCCCACCCCCAGTGACACATTTCCTACTCCAATAATGCCACACCTTCCAATAATGCCACTCCCTATGAGCCTATGGGGGGCATTTTCATCCAAAGCACCATAACTTCCCCCCAAGATTCATTCTCTTTCTGCAGTGCCAAAACTGATCTGAAGAAGCTAGAGAGGAAACGGGGCTTTCTGGTGAGTGCTCTAGGGCTTTAGATGGTCAGTGGGAAGCCAAACCATAGTCCTTCCTGCCTCTGACTCACTGGGATGTAGACAAAGCCTCCGTATCAAAGTATGTCACAGTCACTTTGCTATTCCTTTATTTTTTAATCTGTATATAGGTAGCACAGGTTTGATTAGTTTGTGTGGGACACTCATTAACATGTGTTCTTATTAAGGCTCTGCACTCCTTTACATGTAAAGTTGAAATTATTTTTTTGAGACAGGGTTTCTCTATGTAGCCCCAGTTGTCCTGGAACTCACTCTGTAGACCAGGCTGGTCTCAAACTCACAGAGATCTGCCTGCCTCTGCCTCCTGAGTGCTGGGATTAAAGGCATGTGCCACCGCAGCCCAGTGAAATTAATCATTTTAAGAGAGAGGTTTAAAAAAAAGAAAAGAAAGAGAGGCTTAGGAGACATTTGAGTAAATATTATGATTACTCACTCTGAGATAAAGTAATCAAAAATTAAAGACATAGGAAACTGATAAATTAGAGGACAAGTGACCACTATTCCAAAAGTCTTTCTTTCTCAGTGAAGGCAGTAATGGAATTTCTTTGCTTCAGTGGCATACTTAAAATGATTTTATTGAGAAATGAAGTTTCTAGGATTATTGCTAAAAGAGGGGTTACTTGCATTTTAAGAACTGTTTTGTCTGTTTTCCCACCCTCAGCTTTTCTAGGCATAAACCAGTGGGTTATTCCAAATGAAGACAAGAAAGCCAGGTCTCTGAAGCATTTTGACAGGCTGTGCAGCAGTAGAGGCTGGAACCTGGCAAGGAGGCACCAAGAGTATTGCAGGGATAGTTTAAATATCTGGTTGTCTGTCCACTGGGCAGGACCAAGTTACTTCCTGAGTCTCCTGCCAGCTTCAGGGTGCCACCGTTTTATGAGGTAGAAAGAACACAGTGCATTAAAAAATAAAACTGAAACAAAAATCTACAAAAAATTTAGAAGGACTCCAGGAATTTTAAAAAGTGAGGGGAAAATGTACAGTGTGAATATATTAAGTGTCTTTTCCAGATCCTGGTTCTCCCCACCTCCCCATCATAGGATTACCTAAGTTGATCAGGAAGATAACAAAATGTCACCTAAGCAAAAGCCAGATCAAACTTTAGGTTCCGAAGTCTACTTGTGGAAGAAAAAAAAAAAGCAGAAGGGACTAACAGGGCAGAGAAGGGACCAGCTGGAGAGGGAACAGGTCTGAGGGAGCCCTGAGAGGGTGGCGAACAAAGTGTATGACAAACATGCATGTATGAAATGTCATGGTGAAAACCACTAATTTGTATGCTAACTAAAACATAATAGTATATCAATACCTATCTCTGATGCCAGTATCCAAGTCAAAGGCTAAGGTAATAATTTGCTTAAGTGTTATTGAGACTTAACTTTGGAGAAGGTCACTTATTTGCTAGAGGCTTGAAACCTAGTTCCCAGAAGAAGACAAAAGCAATTATCTTTGTGGCTTTGGGATAGGTGGAGATTCCTTACACAGGACACAAAACACTAAGTCTTAAAATAAGCGAAGATTGATAAATTTGGTTGATTAAAAATTAAGAAATTATTTTAACCAGAAAATGACAGTAGACTGTAAGTCAGTCACAGGCTGAGAGAAGGTTATTTGGAGCAGCCATAACAAGGGACTTACATCTAGAATATGTAAAGAACTTGTAGAGTTCAAACTGGTAAAAAGACATGAACAGAAACATCCCTCAAAGACCAGCATAATGGATGATAAATTCTGAAAAGTTGCTCAATCAAATTGATCACCAGGGAAATAATGTTTAATTACAATGAAATGCACACCCCTGTTTTTAATTTAAAGAGGAAACACTTGGGTCAGGAAGATGGCTCAGAGGGTAAAGCTGCTTGTGGTCAAGCCTGCTGAGAACCTGAATTCAACCCGCAGATCCCACAACATGGGAGGAGAGAACCAACTCCAAGTACTTTTCTATGACCTCCATACACCCACTGCAGCACGCATATCCCCCCACAAGAAAATGTGGTTAAAACCTTTTAAACACCTTGATACCAAAGGTCATAAATATGTGAGATCGCCAGGAATCTTACAGCACTGGTTGAAACATAAACAGTTTACCCCTTTTGTTTTAAAAATTATCTACTTTTTGTTTTATGGTTTAAATTTTTGCTTTTATTTTTTTCCTTGTTTTTCTTTTTTCTTTCTTTCTTTCTTTTTTTTTTTTTTTTTGGTTTTTTTGTTTTTTACGAGACAGAGTTTCTCTGTATTGTTTTGGAGGCTATTGGTCCAGCCCAGCCTCGAACTCACAGAGATCCTCCTGCCTCTGCCTCCCGAGTGCTTTGGTTATTTTTCTTACTCAGATCACTGGCAATATATTTAAGGCTTGCCATGTGTATACTCTGTAAACCAGCAGTTCTAATCCCTAGCATGTGTGTGACATGAATGTTGCATCTACACATAGAAGAATGTTTCCAGCAATTTCACTATGAACTGTCAAAAACCTGAAGCTACTGAAATGCCTACCAAACCGTACGTTGAACACATATATTGCTGGTTATTTAATGAATGTGCAGTAGTGAAGAATGAGCCACAGTTATGTACAACAGAGAAATCTTACAGACAGAAAAATTCTCACTCTCTATTTCAAGTTCATGTCAAATTCAAATACCAGTACAACTGAACCCTGTGAGATACTGAGTGGCAGGGCCATGGCTAAGCTGCACTGTTCTGGGTGACAGCCCCGTGGGTACTCACACCCACCATTCAGCACACAATAATAGACACTGTGAGACCAGACAGTGCTCACACCATCAACAACAAAACTGACCACATACCCTGAATTTGTGTTCAAGAACAGGGACACCCAATCTCTGTAAGTTCTCATACTGATGTCTTATACTGTTACACTTTCCCCTGCCCCACCAGAGAAAGCCTGTACTTGAGAACTCTTCATAGCCTAGCAGACACCGCAGGACGCTCATGCTAGGCAGGGGTGGTTAAGAGAGCAGAGAACACTGATTCAGGAAGTCATCTGCCTCTCAGGACCCAGTAGGAGGGTCAAAGGAAGCTCAACAAGTGTTTATTAACGGCTGCTTTCCGACTTACACAGCACCCGGCATGCACTTTATTTCAAGCAGTACATGATTAATAACAATTTTCCATTTTTGTTGTTTTTCGAGACAAAAGTTTTTTTTGTGTAAAAGCCCTGGCTGTCCTGGAACTCACTCTGTTGGACAGGCTGACCTCGAACTCACAGAGTCTGCCTGCCTCTGCCTCCTGGCCTATTTTCCTAATATTGGTCTCAGTTATCCCATCCTTACTCCTATCCTACAGATGGGAAATAGAGGTTTATGGAGGATAGGCTAAGTTAGTCAGGAAGGCTGGGCGTGGTAGGCCACACCTGTAATCCCAGCCTTTGGGAGGTGCACACAGGAGGATCAGTTAAAAGGCCAACCAAGGCTACTTAGAGGCCTGTCTGGGTTCAGGAGACATTGTCTCAAAAACCCAAAACCAAAATAAAACAAAGACAGCTCCTCTCAAGGCCTTCCAGATAGTGAAGTGGTGAAGGAGATTCCCACTCATTAGTCTTAATTCTGAAGCAGAGCCATCAACCACGTGCAGGGGAATTAAGGGCAGTGTCCGGGGTCCCCCCCCCACCCCCCGGCGGGTGGTAACAGGTCACAAAGCCTTTGCCATTCTGAGGGCTTCGTTGCCATGCTTCAGGCTTTTGTGATGGGTTCCCGGGGGCCACTAACTGCACACAGGTGGTCCCGCGGCCAGAAAATCAGCTGCTTCCTTTCCTCCAGGACCACGTTCTCACCTCCAGCCAATTTGCTCGAGGAATAAGATTTCCAGGGCCCACCTAAAAGTTTCCTGACTTCACAAACACCGCGCGAGACAGGCGTGGGCTTCCACTCCCGGCTCCCGGAATCAGGGAGCCACTGGTGCGAAGAGCGCCCAAAACTCAGAAAGAAAACGCACCCGTCAGGGAGCAAGAAGGGTGGAGGTGAGAACTGTCGGGGCAAGGGAAGGCAAAGACCAGGAGTCGCAGAGAGGAGCCGAGCGGACCGAGCGAAAAGTGTCCCCTCAACTCCTAAATTGGTGGCGACACAGCCCCCTCTCTATTGCGCCTGCGCAACGCTGCCTCCGGGCCACCCCGCCCCTTCGCGCCTCCGGAGGTTTACTTGTCTCTCGGCAACCATTGACCCGGGAAGCCAATCAGAGGGCGGCGTTCGCCCGGGCCCCCGCCGTTAGCGCCGGGCGCAAGGATCCCGCGGGGCCGCGGCCGGCGCGCCCCGCCCTGGCTCCCCCGGGAGGCCGGCCTCGGGGCGGGGGCAGGGGCGGGGAGGCGCGGGGGAGTGGTCAGGCCGGTTAAGATCGGAGGGGGCGGCGGCGGGACCGCTCACTCGCCGCAGCTGCCTGGGGGCTATAGTCACTGCGCCGCTCCTGCTGGGGGCTGCCCACGCCAACCACCTGTCTCTGTCGCCTCCTCTTCCAGCGCCCAGGTGAGTCTGTGCTCCCCTCCTCCGGAGGTGTGAGGATGCTGCTGCGGTCCAGCGGGGAGTCACGCTCTCACGCTCCGAGGTTCGTCCCAGCAGAGCCTGGTGGGATTCCCGGGAGAAGGAGGGGAGGCACCGGCAGGTGTCAGGACCCGCACGGCTCCTGCGCCCCTGGCTCAGGTTACCTCTGTGAAAGAGCGCAAACTTTTCGGAGACTGTGGCCGGGGTTTGGCAAACTTGGGCGAGCTCCTGCTGGCCGGGCGACAGGAGAGTGGGTGGTGATCACCTCTTGCTCTTTCAATGACCCTGCCAGGAGGTCCGTCGGCTCTGCGCTGCGCCCCTGTGGTGTGCGCACACCGCAGCCGGTACCAGGGCGATTTTGAACCCCGCGGTTTCGGCGGCGTAGATGGAGACGCTGCGGTCCGGGGCTATAGCCTGGCAGGCGAGGGGAGGGCAGCTTCCTGGGCTCAGTGCCCAGGATGGCGGCAGAGATCATTCTCTTTTCTGGGACTGTGGACATTGCGCGCGGCCAAGAAGTTGCGCGTCTCTCGGAAACTTCTCGAGAATACGGCGACTTTAAACCTGGTTCCTCTCCTTTGGGGATCGAAAGTTGCCTACCGCGTGGGCTGAAAGCCATGCAGAGTTAGTTGACTCTGATAGCGGTGTTGTTGGTGACTTAAGAGGAGCGGCTGCCCCGAGCGAGCATTGCGGTCAGGGTACTCCTTTAGCGTCGTTCGCGAAGAGGGTGGGAGGGACATCTGAGGAAGTTGAGGAACCTGCAGTACCAGCTGGTAGCCCTTACACCCAAGTTCTGATACTCAGCGAGCAGGCCAGCGACCTCAAAGTCGGGGGGGGGGCACTGGTGAGGAAATGCCTATTTGTTTTTTCCAGAACATAGAATTTCCACCTGAGCTGATTGTCAGACCTGAGTAATCTCAGCCCCCTTTCTCCTCTCTCCCCTTTTAAATATGCAGAAACCCTTTTGCAGGGTCGTGGCTAATTCCTGATTTTAAACCCTCCCCCCACCCCTCGATTTGAGGATAAAGTGCTTACAACGAAAGACTTAATAGACTTAACAGATTTGCAAAGAACAGCTATATATGTAACCGTTTGAATTGTGACGTGTGTGGTATTCTGGAAGTAAAAGTCAAGATAAGGTTAGCGCCTCTTAAATTAGGCTTCCAGCTGACCCCTCTACTCCGGGAAGGAGGGTGAGGGTGGCCATTGCTGGCTACAACTTCCAGTGTAATTTGCTTGGCAAGGCAGTGAGTGAGCCAGAAAGCCTGCCAGGCAGCCAAGAGGGTGGGAGGAAAGCTTACCAAGAATCCTACTGTGCTGAAAGTCTCCAGAGGTGTGATTCTCCCCCCCCCCACACACACACACATTTTACCCAGCAGTTAAAGGATGTGGGGTGGGGACTAAAGAAGGTTGCATTTCCTCTCCCCGCGGCAGCTGGACCAACACTGGTTCTGTCTTTGGCCATTCTTGTTTGTGAAGATGGAGTTCTTCGTATCCCTGAGCAGGTAGCTGACTTTGTCTCTGAAGGGGCACCTTGGTTTTGGAGTACCCAGATGTGAGTTAGGAGGTTTTAGAAGATTTTAATATTTGGAATAATTATCCCAGTATCTACACAGGATGTCCCTTACCATCATTAAAATCGTGGAGGTGGGGTGCTCAGCTCCCTCTAGACTGTCACCAAAAGAGAGGTTCCTACTTTTGTGAGTAACTTTAGTGTGTGCCCCTGCAGCAAACCATAATACCTACCTTGTATCTAGAGATTCAGTTTGTGAACTCTGGAGGGAGGGGCTTGGCTCTTGGCCTGTTGGTCAGAGTGAGTGTGGAGTGTTGAGGGCTCACTCTAGCTCCACTGCCAGGATAGTTACCAAGCTTTCAGCTGGACTTTCAGCCTCCCCCAAACCCCCATCCATCTCCCAGTCAAGCACACAGTCTGTATCCTCCAGTGTTCAAGCCCAGGCAGATTATATGTACGGTGCGCTGTCCCACAGCCACAGCTCAGCCACGAAGGTGATTTAAAAGTGAGCTGTTGTGTGGTTAGCGAGGCTCAGCTGTTACAGAATTGGAAAACTGAGTTGAATGTTTCCTTACTTCCTTTCCAGCTCCATCCACTAAGTAGTACCTTTTTCTCCATTTTTCTTCTTGCTATGCTCTCCTAGAGTCAGGCAATGAAGAAGGCAAGCCAGGTTAGATCCTTTCCTGTATTACTGAGAAAAGCTGTGGAAGCCTGAGGTGTGGTGGTGTTTGGTAGTTTCTTATCTCCTTCCTGTCCCCAAACACACAGCTCCCCCCTCCCTCCCTCTCTGTGTCTTCTCTCTGTGTGTGTGTGTGTGTGTGTGTGTGTGTGTGTGTGTGTGTGTGTAGTCTGAGGCGTTTCCTGGACTAAGACTGGTCTGTTGCTCTCATTATTGAAGAAACTGGGAAACATGGAAAGCTGCCCTCCACCATCTTGGTGTTTTGACTGTAGCTAATGAAGTTGTATTATGGTGACGCCAACTCCTCCATATTTAAAGAAGTGCCCCTGAGTTTAAAGCTACTTGAGACAACAGTAAAGCCGACCTCTTAATCTCTTGGACCCAAGGTTTCTCTCACTTTTTAACCTTTTGATCGGATGCATTCCTTGTGAGGGAGCTTTTATTTAGAATTTAAATGGTCATAGAAAGCAGCATCTTTACATAACCCAACTTGTGAACTGTTTCAAATTAGTATTCTGTACAGCTGGCCCTTGTAGCTTGCTCTTGAAGTGTTTGCAGAACTTTTTGGAACAACAGAAAAATACTTAATATGAAGAAATAATTACTGACATGAAGGAGCTCTGTGTGCAAAGAAGCCTTATGGTTTCAGAGCATTTTCCACTGTAGGTCATTCAGCTGCGAGGAGGGGCTTGTTTTTTGGATAATGGGTGGTGGGTGGGTGGTTGAGTCAGAAAGTGCTTCCTAGGTGGTGTTTGGTGCCAGGTGCTGGGGAGGCCTAGGGAATGCTGTGTGAAAAGCCTGTGGCAGAGCTTTGGAGCTGAGAGAGCTAGCCTGCATTTATGATGTACTTGAAGAGCTTGTTTCTTTCTCAATTGTCTCGTCCCCTCCTCACGCATGGACCCCCAAAAAAGTCCGATTGTGGTCCCTCTAGAGTCCTAATCCCTGTCTACAGAGAGAGTGCATGCATGGTCTTGCATGCAGACTTGTTCCTCTTAAGCTATGCACCTTCTGCTGAGGGCTGCCTGTTATTCCCCCTCACAGGAGGAAGCATGCTTGGAGTGGGCGTTCTCCTGCTGGGTCAAGGTACCGGATGGAGCTTTTTGCATCAGAGGCTCCTGGCCTAAAAGGTTGGATGGTTTCTGGGTCATCTTTTCAGGGAAGCCTCAGCGGTGTCGGCTTTGGAGTTGAGGAGCAGTTAGTGCAAATAGATTAGCAGCTGAAACTCCTAAGCCTGGCCAAGCCTCTAGCCCCTCCCCCTGAGCTCTTCCACCCTTGGCCTGTCCTCCCAGCCCAGGCTCGCTCACTCAGCCTTTCTCTCTCTGTGTTCACTCAGCTGCTGGCTTGCTGACTTGTTCTTTTTTTTTTTTTTTTTTTTTTTTTTTTTGTTTCTCACTGTCATCACTGACCTGGTTTAGGGGACTGTAGACAGGAGTTGGATGAGAGTAGTGGCAGCCTCCCTGTCTCTGGCCAGTGCTCAGCCCTCTGCCTGGGGCACTAGAGTAAGTCCCCAGGATCTGCCTATCCCTGAGATCTCCCTGCATCCCTCTACGATGCTTTCCTAGCTGCTCCATGGGCAGGTTGTCCCTAACTGTCCTACCCTGCCTTTCAAAATACAGACTTAGATTTGGGAGGAAAATTGAGCACAACCCCTTCCCCCACTGAACTTTAAGTTGTTTTTGGCACCTCTGTTCAGGCTCTGACAGATGTTCTCCCATCTGAGGGCTGCATTATCCCAAATCTCTCTGCTTCACTCTGTTACAGTTTTCCTTTGCATATTTTCTTGTTTCTAAAACTTTAATATGGAACTAAAAGGCTTTTTAGTTTTTAGAAGTCCCCTGTTGTCTGCATCTCCGGCCTCTATTTTTTTAAAAAAGAAGAAAATTATTCAGGCATCGTGAACCATCATCCCCTTATCTCATCCAGTCTCCTTTAGCTTTTCTCCACACTTGGCCTTACAGAATGAGGCCAGGCTGCCTGCCCCCGCCTCTCCACGCTCCGTGTTGAGCCTCGCCCCTGCTTGTCATAGAGCTGGGCATCAGGACTTTAGCTGCCTGTGGCTATAGTGCTATGGTGTGGAATATGGGAATACAGACGAACGAGTAGGGTCAAGACACAGGGGTGTTTGCTCTGGATTGGTCATCTGGGATTCAGCACCACTGCAGCTACGTCCATTGGAGACTGTTGTAGACTTTATGCTTATTTCCTTGCCTTGCAGTCTGCCATTCACTGGGGCGCTGATGCTGGCAGACCCCTTACTACTCCAGGCTTTCATTTCTTTATGGTCATCCACAGCAGACAGAATCATTGCTGTCCCATAGGCATATGGGAACAAAAGCCTGGTAAATTCCACTTAAGCAATAAATATATTTATCTATTTAATTTAGTATGTCAAGTAATCAGTGCAAAAACACATAACAGATATTTTCTATCTCTCCTGAATATCAAGTCCCTGAAGTCTATTATGTATTCTGTTTATACTATGCACTCTGTTTGGACAGTCTACCTTTCAAGTGCTCAGCAGCTCCACAGCTTATAGCTACTGTATTGGGTAGTGCAGGTCTAGACCATGTGCAAAAATGTTTGACTCTCAAATCCTGATTCTATGTGTGTGAGAAGCAATAGTGAGCTGACCAAAGTCACTGAAGAGTGTGTACAGGACACGCGCTCTGCGGGGCCAGGGGTCTCGGTCACCTTCCTTCTGATCACAGAATCCCAGGAGAGTGCTTACAGCACAGGAGGTACCTGGGTATCTGGACAGATGAGCAGCGTTTGGTCATCACACTGTCTTACTGATATCATTCATCCTGCAAGGCAGAATTGATGGCTCTTGTTTTCATAGTTTTCTTAGAGAATAGCTGGAGGACCTACACATGAAATCTGAGATTACCAGGGCACTGGGGCTGAGTTTTATTAGCAGTTAAAGTTTGCCAACGATTTACCGTTAATGAAAACTTAGCAATGATTAAAAATGAACAAACATGCAAGAGGAGTGAGCTTTCAAGGCAGAGATGTTTGGGAGATCTCTAGGGACAATCAATGGACAGTCATACTGATGGCCTGACGTCCTGGCTCTCTTGGTTCTACACTAGTAAGACACCGCCTCTTAGAAAGTTGGTACAGAAATAAGTTTTGTGCTGTGGTTTTGTTTCTTCACATAATGCACACCCCACAATGTATTTAAGTTTAGCATGTTTCTCTCTGCTTGGTCTATGCCGACTACCTAGAGGTCTGCCACTTGCTATGTTAATATCCTTAACCTGACTGGTTGGCATGCGAAGTGTCATCAGCAGTGAAACTGAGGCTAGCTCGCACTTACACATTTGTGAATGGGGTGTGTATACATGTCTTACCCTGATAAGTGCTGCATTTGAGGGCTAAGCATTCCTGGTCCTTTCCCTGATAAAACCCACGAATGCTGCTAGTGACGAGACAGGACTTGTAGCCACTTTTAACTGACTAACTGAAGTCTTTGTTTTGGGCAGCTGATGACATTCAAAGGTCTGAGCTGGAGGGCCAGATGGTGGTACAGCTTTGAAGTAAGCCAGAGGATTGTGACTTGGTTTTCCTTTAACAGTCTCCTCTCTAGGAACCTTGTTTTTCTCAGTCCAGTCCACCTCTAAAAACAGTAACAAAAGGCTGGCTCTGGAGAGTTCTTCATGTGAGTTGAGGACTCTGGAGTGTTGTCTTGAGCATTTGCACTTCCTCTCCGTGCCTATTGCAATGTCTGCCCCAGTGTTTTGATTCTGTTCCGTGCTTTCACGGCCCCAGCATGACTTTTCCAGCATTATCTCTCCACCCACACATGCTTAGGCATCCTATTTTGAAAGGTGGGGAGTAGCTTTCTGTTTAGAGTCATGTTCAGGTAGTGTCTGGACAGGGCCCAGTTACTGATAAGCACTGGGTATTGGCATCTGTAGGGGAACAAGAATCTGAAGACCCCCCAGACTCTATAAGCTTGGAGCACGGCAAGGCAGCCCCTGTTCTATGCCTCGGGCCTCAGCCGTGGGAATCTGACCAAACTTTTTGCCTTTGGTAGACATCAGTGTGAAATGGCTACTGATAACCCTGAGAAAATAGAAAATGTGATGGAGCAGCAAGTGAGAAAAAGGCCATCTGGGGAGTTTGGCGTCACACTGTTTACTCTGGGCACAGTATTCTGGCCAGGGACTGCCATCATTGTGAGCCGAGGTCCAATGCGTTATGAGCATCTGGGTGGGTTAATTGTAAATAGGACTGTATTAATTACTTGTGGGTGTGAAAATACCTGACACAAGCAGCCTACGGAAGGGTTGGTTTCTCTTGGCTCCCAGCTTTCAGGTACAATTACCATGGCAAAGAGGGCACATTGCGGGAGAGACAGGCAGCTGGTCACGTTTTGTCTCAGTTAGAAAGCAGAGAGAGATGAACACAAGTTCCCAGCTTTCTTCTCTTCATTCAGTCCCAGACCTAACCTTCGGGGAGATGCTGCTAACATTTGGGGTGGGTCTTTTCCCACCTCAGTTAAACATCCCTAGAAGGCTCTCCCAAACATGCCCAGAGATGTTTCACAGTTGATTGTGAATCCATCAAGTTGACAGTGGAGAGTAACTATCACAATGGCATCTTGGGAGAAAGTTTATGTAGAATGCACTTTGCTGCTTTAAAAAAAAAAGGCATTAGTTTATCTGATCCTGTTGCTTTGGGCAATCTCATCTAGACTCTTCTATATACTCCCAACACAAGTTTCTGTTTTCCTTTCCTTTTTTACCCCCCTGGTTTTTCAAGATAAGGTTTCTCTGTGTAGCCCTGGTTGCCCTAGAACTTGTTCTGTAGACCAGGCTGAGCTTGAACTCACTGAGATCCTCCTGCCTCTGCCACCCAAGTGCTGGGATTAAGGGCGTGCTCCACCACTGCCCAGCTAGATGTATTTTCTTAACAAGTTTGAGGCTGTGGAGGAGTATCCAGGATGTGATTCCTCCCTTTTGGGAGCCCAGGCTGTGGTGAGGGGCTGGAAGCCAACAGACTGAGGGCTTTTCCAATGCCACCCTAGGCCATAGATAGCTTCTGGCCTTTCTAATTCCAGGAATGCAAGGAGGGAGGGGGCATCTCTGTAGAAGGCCACACTACTTCCACCCTGGTTCTGTTCTTCCCTTCTCAGCCTCGGACTGTAGATGTCCATGGTCATTCAAAGTACTTGGCTCAAGCTTGGAATGTGTCTCAGTAGCAGAACACTCCACTTAGTAGACACAAATCTTTAGTTTCTTACACACACACACACACACACGCGAACACACACACACACTTTTCTTTCAGGTGAAAGAACCCTGAGTCAAACAGTATGGGTGAGTGAGAAGTGACAGATGTGTTGTCTGAGGTTGGGCCCTTGTGGTCTCTTCTAGGTTGCTTCTGTGTTCCGTTCTGTCTGAAGCTAGCCCTTTGGGGTCTGGTAACTCTCTTCTGCCCCGTCTTCTGTAGAGAAGGTCTCTTTTGTTCTGTTGCTTTATCATAGACCAACACTTCTGATCTCCCAGTCACCCAGGTGCAACTTAATGGTTGTTTACTCTGCTAGCAATGCCCACCTCTGACAAAGCTGACTCACCATTACTGTTTCCTCTGGTGTTGTCAGACCGTCCTCTTGACTGGCTCCTTCCATTTCTGGCTTCGCTGTTTTTCCGAACCTGCTATCTCTAACATGAGCACCCCACCACCCCCCAAGCTGGAATCTTAGGTCTTTATCTCTGAAGCATTAACTATTAGCACACTATACTTACTATTCCCATTCTGGTAGCTCCAGCCAAGGTTGGATACACCCCAAAGTCATCATGACTGTGGGGGAGCAGTTTCTGTCCTGACAGCTGTTAGATACTTGAGTTCCACATGTGTCACCCAGCCCTTAGCACCGGCCATCTGGTCTTGCCTCACTCCAGTGGCCAGAATTCTCTGCCACCAGCTGATTAAGACATCTTCATGCTCTCTCTCCTGTCCTGTTGACATAGTGCTGCCTCCTTCCCGTGGCTACCGGAACAGCTAGTTCTTAAAGTTTTCTCCGACCCTGTAATACACCTCAGCTACCTCCTGTGAGGAAGAAGAAACTCCTCTAGTAACATTTCTCCCACGTACCAGCAGTGCGTCCTTGGACAGTCTACAG